TCCTCAGAAAGGAAAGCTCATCTGCTCAGCTCCAGGGCTTCTGTTGGGCAGCAGGACACCTGAGTGTGCTGGGCCCTGGCTGGGCAGCCGGGCAGTGACCCCTGCCAGGGCAGGTGGCTGTGGCTTCACCCAAGGCTCAGCCCTGCCCTGGGCGCCGGGGCTTTATCCCAGCAGGTGCTGGCTGTGGCAGGAGGTGCATGAGGGCACCAACAGATGTCCCCAGGGATAAAACCAGACACTACAGCTGTACTCTGCCTTGCACTGCTCTGTCCTACCTGTGGCAAATAATGCAGCAACAGGTTGTGGGGTCCCCTCACCCCCCTGGCCTGCTCCTCCTTGAGAAGTAGCAGCAGATTAGCCTGGAGCCCCTCTGGGCAGACAAAAGCTGCCACAAAGGGCATTAGGCTTCAGAATTGGATTACCATGTGGCCACCTGTCATCCCCACTTTGTAAATTTATCTCAGTCTGGGTCTGATTTTCACATTGAAGAAGTTTGCCCTTTAAAAAACCCCACAAAACCCCCTGCCCAGTGCCCAAGTATCAGCCTGGCTGAGTTCATCTTAGTATTCCTTCTTATTCCAGGCTTCAGAGCTGTGTGGGGCTGGGGATTAGGGCTGTTTGAATGAAGAGAGCCTTTATTACATTAGTTTAAGTGGTTAATAGGTAAAGTAGGCCAATCCATCTTTAGACTAAGCCTATCACTTCGCCTACGAAGGGTGCATTTTTTCACCAGGGAAATGTTCATTAAAGAAAAAGCTTTTCCTCTGCCCCTCTTGACATGTTAATAGCTCAGGGTTAGGGGCTTGCTCTTTGACTGTGCAAAATTCATAGCTGTGCAAAATTCATAGCTCTGCTCACACAGCAACTTCTTCCCCTTGCTGGGACCCAGTTGCTGGCAGCTCTGCCCTAGTCAGCAGTGCTGAGCCCCACCAGTGCTTTCTGGCTGGGCTGGGTGGGGAATAAAGGATGCTGGGAGTCTGCTCCTCATCCTCATTTCCTTCTTCCATGCTCAATAAGCAGGTGCCTCATCCCTTCCCAAGCAGGGAAGTGGGGATGGAGTTCAAATGACAGGTAGAGGCAGTGCTTTGGTGCTGGGACTCTCTTCTGTGGGATGTTCTCAAGGCCAGAAGTATTTGTGGGTTTGAAAGGATTAAACAGTTCATAGTCACTATGAAATAGGATTATTTTGATGCAGATGCTGTCTCCAGAGGTCTTTGAACTCCAGGTTGCCAGAAGGCAGGAGGATAACAAGGCAGGAAGGATGGCTTGCCAAGGTTTTCATACTTTTCATACAAGATTTTTTGACTGCAGTTTCCACTCTGGCCCTCAGTGGTGTCTCTATCCAGCCCTGGGGCTCAGCTGAGCTCCCTGTTTCCCACAGCCTGGTTCCATCTGTTGTCTCCCTTTGCTCTCCCATATGGACAGCAGTGGTAGCTGCACCTTTGCCTTTCTCACCTTGTGTCAGGCAGTGCTGGCAGGAGCTGCCCATGCCTCCAAGGTGCCTGAGAATCCTCCATGGAAACAGAGGCTCCACAGCGGTCACAAGCTGCCTGGGGTGATCTGTGTCCACCTGAGCTGAAAGCATGTTTCTGCTGGACCCCACTCCTTTCTCCCAAGGGGCTGCATCCTGCCAGGAAATTGTGGCTTCTCATCATCACAGCTCCTCTTTTTCCCCTCCCAAAGCAGCAGCTGTAGTTTAGCATGGCCCTTACTGTCTTGGAGCCCCAGGAGCAGATATGTCCAGTGTGTTGTGTTGGAGCTGCAGTGCTCTGCTGGTCCAAGTTGCCCTTCTCCAGCCGTGGCTTGAATGGGAATAAATTATTCTTGCTGATTTTTCCACCACTATGAGTTCAGACCAGCCAATGTACCAGTTCCTTCTGTCCCTGAGGCTCTGCTGTCTCTGACTGCCAGCATGATGGATGGTGCCTCTGTGGGAGATGATGGAAATCAAGGGAAAGCTCCTCACAACTGACATGCCCATCCAGTAAAACTTTGCTTTCCTGGAGGTGGTGTTGTCAGAGGTTCAAACCACCTCTATGGGCCACAATATTTGGCTTCACTTGCAGCTGTCTTTGTTTCATGCAGCCACTTAACAATGCAAAGTTTGAGACAATCTTGAGGGTCTTAGTTATGGACTATGCCTGGCACCTATGTGGTGCAATGAAGGGAGAGCAGGAACAAGGGCCCGAGGGCTGGTTTTGGTGGATCCAGGCCTTGTACATGGGTTGAAGGTTCTGTTTCTACCTCTGCTTACCTTCTGTGAGCAACAGCCTGTGTTGGCCAGCCTGAGGGCAGTAGGTGTGTCAATGTGCCTCCTTCTGCTTTGCTTGCTGTGATGGGTCACCAGCAAAATGTTCTTAAATTGCCAAGAATTCAGGCCCTCTCCAAAAATAACAACCTGGGATGTTTAGGCTTGCCCAGAACTGAATACTTGCAGCACAACTGCAGTGTGGGTCCAGAAGATGAACTGCTCTGCAAAGGGGCTGACACCAGGCCAATGGATGCCTCTTAGGTAAAGAGTTACTCCCTGCTTTCTTCCACTTATGGTGCTCCTCTGTATTTGCTGAAATGCTAATTAAGAACCTCTGTTTCTCAACTGAATCAACTGCCTTGGCACTTCATCCCCAGCACTTTCCTCCTGTTTCACAGCCCAGCCCTGCCCAATGCCTTTCTTGTGCAAGGAGGGAAAAAATAAACCTTGCATCATTCCCATGAGACTGATAAATACTCACTGTAGTAGTCCTGGAGGAGAAATCAGTCCCAAAATGCAGGGTCCCATACAACCAGCAATCCAATGAACCTGACCTAAAGCTGAAGGGCTTCAGTGGAACATGGACAACCTGAGAATGTTTTGGGAAGCTTTCTCCTCTCTAGGCAGTCCCAGGCCATTAAGGACTTCATGGGTGGAAAACAACCTCTTAAATCAAGCTGAAAAGCAGTTGGTGGCCAGTGCAGGATGTAGAACTTGGGTTTAATGTGGCCATAAAAGGAGACAACACTTAGTGAACAAATGTTGAAATCTACATCAGCCCACAACAAATTTAAGAGTTGCTCTGAGTGTTATTGACTGGCCCTATTCTGTGACAGCATTACGGGATTGCAGAGTTGGCCAGAAAGATGAAGGATTAGTCAGAGTTTTATTCTGCTTGCTGGTTTTGGCACACACACTAGCTTCCAGAAGCTCTCACATCCCAGGTATATGGTAGGCCAGCATGATTTTTATCTGCATGTGAAACTCCACTTGTGTGGACTTGAAATCCCAGCCTTCAGGGTTGCCACCACCTCTGGCCATGACTGGAGTTTTCCACAAGCTGATATCCTCTTCCTCCACAGTCCAGCTTGTCCATTACCACTTCTCCCAGAGTGCCATGCAGACCTGGCACAGGGACTGTCTCTCACCTTGGGACTACGGAGAAGGGCCTTTATGGGCAGTCTCCAGGCACAGCTCACAGGGATGATGGAGGTGCAGACTCTGGGTGCCTCTTGCCAGTAAACACATTGCACAAATGTAATGCCAGAGGCTAATAAGTGAAATACCAGGTGGAGTGTGAGCTCACCAACAGTTGCATAAACAGCTACTGACCAAATTTCATAGACATGGGATGATTTTTGATGCAAACAGAGCTCTCATTCCTGGATCCCCTGTTATTTGCCCTCAGAACAGATTTGTCAGCTTTCTTCCCTTGAGTTCTTAATCAGGGCAACCATTGCCTTTAGCACAAATTATCAGTGGCTGTTTTAATTGCAAGAGCCCTGGTGATCTTTGCTGTGGAAGCATAACAGCAGTGAGGGAGAAGATGGCTGTTGGGAACAGCCTCTGTGTGGTGTCCTATGGCTGAGTGAAGTACAGCTTCAGGCTTGCAGATCACATGCTGGCTGCTTATTTCTCTGTGCTGGGTGGATGCTCTGAAAGCTTAATCAAGTTTTATAACTTTAATTTTGTGCTTGACTCCCCTTTTGCCTTTTCTTTTCAACTATCTCACAACCCAGAGAAAATTAGTCCGTTTGGGCTATAAAGTGAAAGACCTGGCAAACAGTCTAAAATATTTTATCTTGCCTAGTGAATGATAGGAAACAATTACTCTGCCTGCTTCATGCCACTTCCATCAATTCTGCAAGCTCCCTACTCTTTCCCCATGTGGTTAATTAGAAATAGCCAGAGAATAAGATGGAATTGCTGGAAGCATTAAGTTTTAAAAGTACTTTGTGAAGGGATGTCCTGCCCATATGCTAAGGTTGTGTTCTCCACAGTTGTATCCCATATCCTGACCTGCAGTAACCCGTGGGGCAGTGCTGGAGTGGGGCTGTCCTCATTGTCTCCTGGACTGGGATGCGCTGAATACACCATGGACAGCTCTTGATGCCCTTTCTAGTTCATGTGAGGAAACAAGTAATAGGGAATAGTAAAGCAGGGGGTGAAACTGGATGCAAGAGGACACTTGTGAGTGAAGTCCTGCTGTTGGCAAGCCAGGGAAAAATTGCACCCTCTTGCCTGAATTGGGAAAAGTTTTGCCTTTGGAAAGTTGAGGGAAAAGTGAGGTAGACATAGTCTAGTGATCTCCTGCTTTTCTGCTGTACCATCCTCTCATTCCCATGGGGAATGGGAAATGAGCTCTGGATTGGGGCTGAGGTCTCAGTGGTGTTGTCATGAGCCAGAACAGCCACCTGGTGCAGCTCAGGACCCATCCTGACAAGTCTAGAGCTGGTGTGGTACATTCAGCTGTGGTCCAAGCGCAGAATGTAGCTCAGCTAATCCACTCATTAATAACTGGGGGATTACTCAACTGGATTTCTAATACAGTGGCCTTTAATAATAATCCCTCCCTAATCCCTAGATCAATGGGAAATGGATTTGCCTGTGTGATCCAAATGGCCTGTGAAGGCACTCTAGGGAGAAGAATTCTTGTGTATCTATGTGTCAACATATATGTAAATGCATATGGATATTTTTATTCCTCTTCCTTGTCCTTCTGACCTATGTCTGTGTGTTTTTCTGGCAGGGACCTGATGCCCAGGACGCTGGAGGGGCAGATCACCATGGAGAAGACGCCCAGCTACTTCGTCACCAAGGAGGCCCCGGCCCGCATCTCCTCCATGTGCAAGGGCACCAAGCTGATCGTGGTGGTGCGGGACCCCGTCACCAGAGCCATCTCGGACTACACCCAGACGCTCTCCAAGAAGCCTGACATCCCAACCTTTGAGAGCCTGACCTTCAAAAACAGGACTACGGGCCTGATCGACACCTCATGGAGTGCCATCCAGATTGGCATCTACGCCAAGCACCTGGAGAACTGGCTGCTCCACTTCCCCCTGGGGCAGATCCTCTTCGTCAGCGGGGAGAGGCTGATCAGCGACCCTGCGGGGGAGCTGGGCAGGGTCCAGGACTTTCTGGGCCTCAAGAGGATCATCACGGACAAACACTTCTACTTCAACAAAACCAAGGGCTTCCCGTGCCTGAAGAAGGCGGAGGGCAGCAGCAAACCCCACTGCCTGGGGAAGACGAAAGGCAGGACCCACCCTGACATCGACCAGGAGGTGGTGCAGAGGCTGAGGGACTTCTACCGACCCTTCAACATGAAGTTCTACCAGATGACAGGGCAGGACTTCGGCTGGGACTGAGCCTGGCATGGGAAAGTTCCCTGTTATTACTTGCCCAGCACCGTTTGCTTATATAAAGAGATATATATGTATGTAAAATGTACAGAAATCTATTTTATAATAATTTATTTTTAATTCCTAAGCAATTAATTCACTAAGCTGCCTAACCACACTGGCTAGAATGGTAGCCTGTAATCTGTTTAACATTCCATGTTGTTGAATTCTAATGTCTCTCCTTTGTTTTTTCGCTCTTCTTCTTTCTCTTTGGTTTCATTTGTAACAGACAGTGCTTCCACTTTTCCTAAACAAAATTTGTATTTAAAAATCAAAAGAAGGGAGGGAGGGAAAGCACAAGTTTATTTTTGTTACGGGTATTTGGCCTTTATAAACACTTGCTTTCCCTATTCCAGTGTCCCAGTCTCTGCTCTGCTGTTGTGCTCCCTCATCCCACAGTTTTCTGGTTAGTTCCATGGCCCCGGGGGGTGTTTCTCTGGGGTGGGTGGGAGGAAGGCTGGGCATCCCTGCTCCCCACATACCTCTGCTGAGCAGCAGCATGTTTTTCCAGTGGCTGTAAGTGTGGGAACCCCCAGCCAAGGGCTCCTGCTCAGGATTGCCAGGAGGGCAATGTGCTCTTTTTCCAGCAGAGAAGCTGCAGAGCTTGTTGCATGGGCAGAGCTCTCCTCAGTACAGTTTTCCTTCCTGCTTTTTGTCCAGGAGGTTCTTTCCCACAATCCTGCTATGCATTTAAAATCTTTACTGCAGGACAAATGTAAAATGCTGTGTCTGTGTGCGACATGTGTGGCACTGGTCAGAGTGACTTGCAGAAAGTGTCACTCCAGGAACAGCCATGCACACCAGGCACTGCTGGGAGATGGCAGTACCTGCAGCATGTGGAGCACCCTCCACCCACCAAAGACACCAGCAGAACCACTGGGAAGACCTCAGGTGCCTGCCTGGCATCATGCCCAGCGTGGAGCATGTCCCAGGACATGGCACAGGCACTGTTGTCTCCAGCCCCATGGCCACCGCAGACCTCCCAGTACATAAGACTAGGGAACATCACCCTCTGCCCTCTTCATTCCCAGCAGTTTTTGGTCCAGCATCCTGTCTGTGGTCTGTCCCAAGGAGCATCATTTGCTTAGAGCCAGGGAGAAATGCTGCTTTACCAACAAAGGTGAATCTGTAGGAAGGCAGGGGGGAATCTGGGCACGCTGGGGTTGGGGTTTTCCTGGCAGTCCCTGGGTGCCCTGGCTGAGCACAGGGGTAGCAGCCAAGCAGGATAGGAGGCTCCAAACATGTAACCAATAACCTGAATGAAATCCTTCTCCTTGGGTGTAAGAACTTGCTGTGGGACTCCGGGACAGGTTAGGTGGGCTGTCCTGAGAGCTCTGCCAGTGTTTTATGAGCTTAGGAAGTCCTGATAAACACTGTGTGTGTCTGATGCCTTATCACTGCTGACAGAGGTTCTGCCAGTTTGACTGGAACACTTTCAGAGCAAGGTGGCAGCAGAAATTACTTTCTCATTAATATTTAACAGAAAGAGAGCTGTGATGACTTTGGGCAGCAGATCTCCCCACACCTCATCTGCAGCCCTGAAATGATGCACTGCACTGAGCATCTCCTGGTGTTGCTGTAGGAGCACTTCCAGCGAAACTGGGAACAACAAAAGCACCAAAGGGCAGAACATCTAACTTCATATGCTTTGCCTATAGAAATCCATGCCCTGCACCTCTCCATAGTTACCCATAGCTCCCCCTTGGAGCTGCCCATTGCAGCTGTGGTGGGGCCCATTCAGTGGTGTTTCCCAAATGTTTGTTTTACTTCTGGAGCCTCCCCCTTGCCTGCCCCTTCCATCTCTCTGCTGTGGCTGTTGGGTGATGAAAATGTTCCTCAGAGCCTGGGCCGCTCTGTCTGGGTCTTGATCTAGTCCTGCTCCAGCAGACAGAGCAAAGAGCAGACTTGGCTCTGGGTCTGCTGCAGGTGCCAGGGAGCTGCCCTTCAGAACTTTGTTTAAACCTGAGGGCTTTTCGCCTGCTCAGCAGTGTCACACCTCCAAAGGGATTTAGGGACTTGCAGCACTATATGTGGGTTTACACTTGGGGTGCACTGCACGTGGCTGACCTCAAGGAAAGGGAGATTTTAAGCATAAAATCAGGCTGAGCTGCCTGCAAAGCTGCTGTGAGCAGGATGCAAATCCCTCCTTGGGGTTTGCCTCCAAACACATCTTCCCACAAATAGGGAAGTTCTCCTTCTTGCCCTGAGCCATTTCTAGTGAAGAAATGACACTTTGGGCCAATGCAGTCTGACCTCAGAGGGTTCAGGTGGGATGTAGGACCTGCTGGGCTCTGCAGGCTGACAGCCCCTGCTTTCCCTCTGAGCTGCAGGCCTGAGCAGCTGGGTGGATCTATGCACTTTTGAGGGGACTGGCTTCAACTTCAGCCAGGTCCCTGGCTCTGTTTCCTGCTGCCAGGACAGTGCAGGAGTGTGTCTGCTCTATCCCACACCCTGCCACTATTGGGTGATTGAGGGGAAGGAGTTGCAGGCACTAAGAAAATACTTTCTGGTGGAAAAACAAGTGATTTTTGTTTCTCAAAACCTCTGTCTTCCTTCTAGCAGCTTATGCAATGCATGGAAGAAGCTTGACCTCTCCACTTGGCCCCTGGGTGAGCTGCCAGCCGTGGCTGTGCCACCTCCCAGAGTGTTTCACTGGTAGAGCCTCCAGGAGCTGAGTGTTGGCATGGGCTCCTCCAGGTGCTTCCCTCTGCAGTGTGTGCCAGCTGCTCAACACCCAAAGAGTTTTGCATCCCCTAAGTCTTCCTTGCCTTCCTGGATACAAGTTTTTAATATCCCAATGCCTTCCTTAGCTGTACAGCAGAGTGTGGGCTTAATTTGTATAATCAAGCCCTGCTGCAAAGAACTCTGGTGGAGCAAACTTGTTGGACAGTGCAAATACAGTAAGTGAGGAATAATTCTTCTAACCATAAGCAAATTGTCTCGGTATCCTTAATAATGAAGTCTGCACTAGACTTTTAATGTAAAAAAGCCTTACCTAACATATATGATAATGAAGGTGAATTTTCTGTGGTGTTCATCTGGTTGCTAATATTTGAATCAGTGCTTTTTTTTTTAAAATACCCCCCTTATTTAAATTAAGCTTGAAGGTGTGATTAGAAGTTTGGTTGGTTGATTTTTTTTCACATTGTAACATTAATTTATGGCTGAGTTTCATTCAGTCCTGTATTCTGAAGTGCAGTATAGCTATTAGTGAAGTGTTGTCTGAAACATGATTCTACAGTGTAGTAGCCAATCTGTAAAAAAAAAAAAAAAAAAAAAAAAAAAAAAAAAAAAAAAAAAAAAAAAAAAAAAAAAGAACGAAATATAAAGAAAAACAAAAAAAGCCACAAAAAAGAAAATGTAAAAAAATAAGTATATGGAGTATTTTGTGGTATGTGCAACACAAATTAATTTTACACTGAGAAAGATGTTTCTAGGAAAATTAAATTCTGATAATTCATATTATTTGTATGAAGAAATAAAAACTCTATTTTCGGAAGCGACAGGCACGGCTGTGTTCATTTGGGAGGGTTGGATGTGCTGTCCGTGCCAGGACTGTCCGTGCAGCTGCGCTGGAGCCAGCGGCTTCATGAGCAAGGGAGGTGTCCAAGCGCTGCTCGGTCAATGGTGTGGGGCTGACCTGTCCTGCTGGACACACCTGCAGCCGGACACACCTGCAGATGGACACACCTGCAGATGGACACACCTGCAGCTGGACACACACACCTGCAGCTGGACACACCTGCAGCCAGACACACCTGCAGCTGGACACACACACCTGCAGCTGGACACACCTGCAGCCAGCTCGGGGAGGAGGTCTGAGGGACAGCCCTCAGCCTGCTGCAAGCACTGCATGGGCTCAGGGATGCTCCAGGACAAACTCAGTCCTTCACAGCTGCACTGGAGAGCCTCTCCAGTGCCAAGTTACCGTTCCAAAGCTTTGCTCTTACTGTAGTGATGCTGATCCAGCCTCTGGGGCCAGTGGTTGCTGTTGCTCCCTACACACTCAGCATTTTGCGGCATAAAACTTCATTAACACGAAATTCAGAAGGGTCTCAGGCCAGTACTATACAATGCAGCACCTGAAGAATTAGATTTATGTAATGTACAAAAAGCCACTAAAAATGAGTTTAAATAATTTCATTTTTCTTTGCAAGCCTTGCATCTGGTGCAGAGTAATTGATGGTACTCTTTCAGATTATCCATTTTTCAGAGACCTTCTAGAGAAGGAGTCAGAACAGAGCACGAGATTTAATTTAGCAATTTAGGAAGAATTTAACCTGGAAACCTCCAGCTGGTCAGGGCTATAATTAGCTGTTCCCAAACTCTGGCAATGCTTAAACGCTATAGGTGTCTCATTTTTAAAATATGTAGATTTTACTTTAACATTCCCATGTAACTTTCAAGCAGCACAGCTGGATGGCTTCAGCTTGATGGAGTTGAGCCGATCCTTACCTCATTCTCACCCCCCCTTGATTTTGTTCCAAACTAGGTGTGAATGCCCCAGCAGATGTCAGTCCTGGAGGCAGCCTGGGTCTGAGTTCACCCTGATTTTACTGCAGTTCATGAACCCCTGTCCCTCATTTCTGTATTTTATGTGAGCTGCTCAGTTCTGGGCTGGAAAGCATGCAGGTGCTTTTTCTTCACAGGTAAGTTGATGCTGCAGAGGAAAGGGAAGGGGATTCCTAGAGTCCTTATGGGGTTCAGCATCTGCCTTGTCCTCTGTATATCCCTGAAAACTATTCCCAGTTGTACCTGGGCTTGTGGATATTGCGGATTCATTCCCCAGTTTGGTTTGGGACCATTCTCAGGTGCTGTTTTGCAAGAACATCCAGAAGACAAGGATAAGGAGTCTGTGGTTCATGGGGGCCTGGATACAGAGAAGGGTTTGCTCTGAAGAAGACGGGCTGAAGGGTCTTCTTGTAGATCTGGGAACCTCAGTCGAAGGAGGAAGTTCCTGAAGACAAATGGATTGATGAAGAGGTAGGTGAGGCTGCTAAGCGTGGTGATAGCCAAGGTGGATTTACTTTTTCTCTTGGTTGATACAAGAAAGGTGAGAAACAATTTCTTTAACATAGAAATCAAACAGGTCTCCAGGTTGTGCGAATGTGGCATTTCTAGGGGAGATGCTTGGGCTGATGGCAGCATCCCAGAGAAGCATCATCTTGCAGTGATGAGAATACACAAAGTAGGGAGGAATCCAACTGAAAGGACATAGGTTGCTGTGAGGAACATCTCTGTGTGCCTCTCAGAGAGTGTTGAGACCTCCCTGAGGAAGGTGAAGGAAGGGTGAAATGAGAAAGGATAATCTGGAGAGTCTGTAAGCACTAGGGAAAGATCTGGGGAGGAT